CTGGGGCTCCAGCCACTGCTGGGAGCCCCAGGCCCTTTAAATTGCTGCCTGGGGAAGCCGGTCTGGTACGCCATACCGGACTGTACCGGCTTACTTTCACTTCTGCCTCCACCCCTGTGGGGTCCTGGGACCCTGAATCCCAACCCTGGGTTAGTGCAATTTGTTTGTAGACAGGGGATTGAACGGGGGGCTAGGCTTGAGCCTGAGTTCAAACCCTGGACTTACATTGGTTTATAGAAACCATCTGTGACAATCTTACCCATAAAAAGGATGTCGCTTTAATCAGTAACCTCAAAAATTAGAATGCCTTATTTTTAAAGATGAAGCAGTTGTGCTATGTGCAGTCGAACAAAAATGTATAATTCCTAATTAAACAAGTAACATCTTCATTAAGATTCTATTGCAAGGTCCAAATACTCTGTGGCAAGCAGGACCTATGTTGTGTGCAAAGTCACTGGCTGTGGCAGTGCTCTGGCAGAAATTTAACGCAGTTCACACCACTCAGAGCTGTTGTTTCAGCCTGTCTGCAAACTCAAGAAGATGACATTGCATTGGTTTACACTTTGTACATGTTTGTGCCATGAAGACTACAAAATGGAAGGCCAGCACTGCAAAGGAGGCAGTTAAAATTGTTTGGGTTACCTCAACTGTGCATGTCCATGCTTTCAAATGGTTGGATTTCTTTTAAGTTTAACTCTGAATTTCCTGATTTTGTCCTTTTTTTTGTTGCTACAAAATTCTTATTTTTTTTTAACCCTTATGTTATTGATATGTCTGTCAACTTTAACTCCAATTTAGCCAAGTTTTTCATCTGGGAAATAAAAATAAGCATGATTTATACTATCTTCTATCTAGTTTAGTACAAAAGTTAAGTTAAATGACCACACCAAAGAGCATATATTAACATTTTCATTCCAGGGACTCCATAATTAAACAGTGTGATTAATGAAAGTGAATAGTCAGGACAGAAAGTGCAACATTTGACATAAGCAGGAAGAATTGCTTGAGGTAGTAAAGCAGTGGTTTTCAACCTGTGGTCCACAGACCCCTGGGGTCCGCAGACTGTGTTAGGGGCCCGCAAAATGCTGTTAGCGACAAAGAGTCCTGTGGCACCTTATAGACTAACAGAAGTATTGGAGCATAAGCTTTCGTGGGTGAATACCCACTTCGTCAGACGCATGATGTTGTTGTTACCATAGAACAGTGGTTTTCAACCTGAGGTCCGCAGACCACTGGGGGTCCGCAGACTAGGTTTAAGATTTCCAAACGGGTCTACACCTCCATTCAAACATTTTTAGGGGTCCACAGATGAAAAAAGGATTGCAAACCACTGTAATAAAGCATAAAGAATGTTTGTAACTAGGTAAGGTACACATATTGTAGTTTGATCTTGCTTTCTGTCTGAACTGTGAATCTATTGAATGAACTGTAGAGACAATTCTGCTTTAGCATGGAAAGAGACTTGTTGACTAATAGGTCTTTTCTCTTTCTAAGTTCTGATAGGTGACAATTTATTTAATTGCAATCTTTATTTCACTATAATGTTAGAACATTGATGTTCTAACTTAAAACCTGAAGATGACTATCTCCTGGAGAGTTAGTCTGATATTGCACATGCAAGTTTATTCTAAAAATGTATGTTTTAGAGCTGTCCTTTAAGAGGCATGCACACATACACAAATAAATAAAACATGATAAAGAATGCCAAATATGTAGAATACTTGTGTAATGGTTTACAACATGCTAAAGCCTGAAAAGAGAACATAATAAAATAATATTCATTTATAAATTAATAAAAAAATCAAAGTAAATATTAATCCAACTTTTAGTAGCACTTAATTCTTTTTTTAATGGGACTCCATATATCTGAGTTGGCACTTCTTTGTGTAAAGTTAATAACATAATTTGTCTGGTTTAGGGACAACTTGTAGGGAGACTGGGAGGGAACTGAACCCACATAATGACAGTAACTCCTAAGAAAAATGTTAAGTGCCTTTTTTTCTTTTCTGATAAATGTCTTACAGATACCTGTGGTCCCTCAATGTTCCTCACACAATAATGCAAGTCAACTTGATGGGTGGAAGTTCATTCACTTCACATTTACCATCTGATTGTAAGAGCATTGAAAGTGTTTTTAACTAATTTGCTGCAATGACGTGTCTATTGCGCCTTCTGTGTTTAATATTACTCCTCTTCCTCCAGCCATGTTGTTAGTCCTCCTTTCCTTTTTTTTATCAAAATGACTGAAAATTGATACAAATTTTTTCAGGTCGAAACTAAACATTTCATTTTGACATTAACAAAACATTTCAGTGTTTTTTTTGTTTGGTCAAAACTATTCAGTGAACTCCATATGAATTCATGAATAGTTTTAGGTGACTCGAAACTATATTTGTCAGCGAATAAACTATTTGAAAAATGTTATCCAGCTCTAGTTGTAGGGGCCCTTTGACATTATTAAAAGCACAGTGATATAAAAGATAAAGCCAGCAGCATCCCCTTGCCTCAAAACCCCTCAAATTAAAACATTCCCGCCAGTTATGGCCTGGCATTCATCCAAAGCAGATGGTCCAAATCCTCTTTATTTGATCTGCAATGTAACATGACATTTCCTCATGATGGGAGGAACTTGTATCAGCCATCAAGTGTTGATGGCTCAGTTTAACTAGACTGGCCACTGCTCAAGACTAATATGCTGCTGCTGATGGGAAAGCAATATTTATTTGCCTCCTATAGTACAAGATTAAAAAAACATATTTATGGTGCCATCAGTCATGTTAGAAATGGACCATTTCTACACAGAGATTTTGTACCAGTAAAACTGTGTTAGTCAGGGCTGGTCCATACTAACCCCCCACTTCGAACTAAGATATGCAACTTAAGTCGAAGTACCTTAGTTCGAACTTACCGCGGGTCCAGACGCGGCAGGCAGGCTCCCCCGTCGACTGCGCGTACTCCTCTCGCAGAGCAGGAGTACCGGCGTCGACGGCGAGCACTTCCAGGATCGATCCCAGAAGATCGATTGCTTACCGCCGGACCCGGAGGTAAGTATAGACGTACCCTAAGGGATGTGGGGTTTTTGCCAATACCTGTATAGTTATACTGGTGCAGTCCCTAGTGGGGATGCAGTTATACTGTTATAATGGTGCCTTGTACTGCAGTAGCTTATTTCCCTCCCTGTATGGGAATAAGCTGTATACTGGTATAAGCACATTTATATTTGTATAACTGCTTTCACATTAGAGGGTTGTACCACTTTAACTGTACTGGTATAGTTAAAGTGGTACAACTTTTGTGTATACACAAGCCCTACAACAGGAATCACTATTTTTAATGGACAATATTTCTTTATAATGTAACATTATATTTACTTATTGCTAATTATTCCGTGAAATTTTAATTTTCTCCTCAAAGGTCTCTGATGATCTCTCCCCCTAGCTCTACCTCATCACTGTTAAGGATCTGCATTGCTGCCACCTTTATTCCAGCTGAGGAGGGCTGGAGGGAAGCCCCTTTCAGATCCCCTTTAAGCAAAGGGTTCTCTGTAGAGAAACATGAAGCATTTCTTACCCAGGGCTCAGCATATTACCTCTGCAGAGCTGTTAGCCTCTACCTGCTAGACTGTGAGAGACCTGGCATTGCACCATGGTATATTGCCTGACAATGCAATATACCACTAAGCTCTGACTTCACCACAGAGTATTTACAAATAGTTATAGATACGTATGTGGACTTCAGCGTAAAGTGTTTACTTATCTACTGATTCCTTCAATATAGTGACTAATTACAATGAAATATGTCTTCCAAGTTAAAAAAAATCAAGTTTAAACTAATCAACCATCAAATATTTTTTTATTTAAAGATACTGGGCTAGGTTCTCCAGCTCCCTTTGTGTCACTCAGCTAGCACAAAGGGACCAGAAACCTCCCATTACTCCCCAGTGGGCATAGAGCCAGTAGAGTCAACATCTATGCCGCTCTTTCTTTCAGTCCCCAGCACTGGGGCCATGTTGATGTGCAGGAATGGAGAAGGGTGAAGAGGGGCAGTAGCTAGAGTGCAAAGAATTCTGGCAGTCCCCAGATGGTCCCTAACGGGGACTTCCACAAATAAGCAAACTAGTTCATACTGAATAAAGATGAAGAAAGGGTTACTTAAGCATCTGTTTCATAAAGAACCATCCATGGCAGTCTTTTTTTATTATTAATAATAATTTTTGATATATGTTTTTCTTTCACCGCTTCCCTAGTTGAGGCTTCAGATCAAATGCCAGAATTTGATACGTCCACCTTACAAATCCTGCACCTGATATTACCAACGTCTGGTGTAAGAGCAAGTTGGGTAGTCCTTTCTAAGTCAGTTTCCCCCACAATGGAACAGGACTGCACTGTAGGCAGTGGGAACTATGTTCGAGCAATAAACGATGAAGATCTCTGCACAGTGTGTCATAATGAAAATCTTTGAGGCCTCACAATCCTGTGAATTTTCCAAAGAATAATCTCCTCCTTTTTAAGATGAAACTCTCTCTTTCTCCAGAGGACTCCCCCTTACTATTTTAAATGCAGACTCTGCTACTGTGTAAACTAGTTATCATTATTTCCACTCTATTTTGTGCAACATAATTTTAGACCCTGGTCTGAATATCAGCACCATTATGAGACCACTTTAAAGGAAGATAGAGAGTAAGTTATATTTTTCAAGATACTGGACATTTAAGATTACTTAAATTGAGATCTTTGTTCTGAATTCACTACAGATTTTATAAAGCAGATCATGCACTTTTTCAAGAAATATATTAGTTCCCAAAACCTTTCTTCTAAAACCAGTTGAATTATACAACTTCATGTTTCTTAGAAAGTCTTTTCTTCCCAAATCAGCATTTCACAGAGAGAAGAGAATGGACTTACCCGAGCAGAAAGCTGGGTCCTTTATCTGTAGCACTCCAACCAGTTATCTTGACAACACTGCCTTTGCAAGGAGGGCATCGTATGGAAAGGCATTGAAGGATTCTGGTTTAAAATTGAAGGGTAATGATTATACAGATTGTTATTGGCAAAAAATAACCACTACCCCCTCCCCCAGCCCAGTTCTTTTTCCATTACAACACTATCTGTTCTTATTTTTTATGAAGCATTTATATAGTATTGTAGATGTACATGGTGCTTTATGGAATATAAACCAGAATAACTCTTGGTCCCTGTCCCAAAGAGCTTTTTCATAGACTGGAGATGGGAGAGGAAGGAATGGGAAGGTGAGAGAGGAGAAAATTACAATGGGTGGAGTTCACGGGGAGAAAGGTAGATTTGGGAGTGATCAGCTTAAAGGGTGACAGCTGCAATACTTTGCAGATATCATTGCTGAAAGTGTGGGACAAAAGTGATTCTCAGCTTTTTTTCACCCAGGACCATAGTCTGTTTCTTGCTGGAACCCACCTAACAATCCTTTGTGGGTGAGTTGGGGTGCTGGCAGGAAAGGGCAGAGGCTCTGTGTACTAAGCAGAACTGGTGAGAAAGTCCCGTATTTCCTTGCAAATGTCAAATTGGTTATACTAAATTAGAGGTATAACTCTTTTTGTGCTTAAAGAGTGATCATGATATTTTTTTTAGCTCAAAGAGCCCAAAGCCAAATGATGTTTTTTCAGGGGAAATTTAAAAAAAGGCCATTAGTAAATATTTCTTTTGACAAAAAACACTAGAAAATTTGACTGGCCCATGATAGATTTAACTCTGTTAAATTTAGAGACTCAAGGCTATGTCTACACTATGGACCTTACAATGGCACAGCTGTACCACTGCAGCTGTGCCGCTGTAAGGTCTCCTGTGTGGCCGCTCTATGCTGGTGGGAGAGAGCTCTCCCACTGGCATAATTAAACCACCTCTAATGAGCGGCAGTAGCTATGTCAACTGGAAGGTGAGCCAACCCCATGTGGCAGGGGAAGAGCTCATCCAGCAGCCAGCTGCCCTGCTGCTTCCTCCCTCTCCAGGCTGCAGGGACACAGGGAAAATACTGCTGCCAGGGGGAGCACTGCCTCGTCGCTGCTGGGCGTCCTGAGAAATATGGGGGGACATATAACCCTGCATGCCCCCCCAGTGCATCGCCTCTGTGGCAGGTGCGGAGCAGCAGTGGCGGCAGGGGCTGCGCTTTGTGGCAGGGGAGCTGATAAGGTGATCAGAGAGCGTGGGCCGCTGTGGGGAGCCTCAGACCTTCCACCTGCCATGGGTGGCACACCCCAGGGGGCAGAGACAGGGGCTGGCGGCTGCTCTCAGGCTCCCCTCCCAGGGCAGGTGGAGGGTCTAGGGCTCCCCACAGTGGTCTGGGCTCCCTGGGCAGCTCTTTCCTTGGCCTGGCTCCAGCTTCCAGTCTGGCCAGGGGGCGGGGCCTCAAGGGGAAGAGGAGGAACAGGGGCTGGGCCACAGTTCTGGTGCTGGTGGCAGTCCCCCTTCTACACAGGTTCCAGTGCTCCTGGGGCCCCCAAATTGTCTCATGTGTTAATCCACCATTGCTTACAAGGAAATGCCCATTTAGGTCCAGAAAACTCCATGAACTTTGCTTTCCAGAGTTTTCCTGAATTCTTCCATTGAGAGATAGGGTTTGCCCCAATGTGGAACAAACAAGGGTAAAGTTCACAAATACCATGAACCTCCAAGATCAGAGCTAATCCTCCAGGTCACAGGGGCATCTTTGAGGAACTCTGGGCCTCTGAATCAACTCTGGGTTCCTTTATCTCTGCCCCTGCCTCAGTGGAGCTGCACTGCAAGGGACTCCCTAGTTGGCCCCTCACTCCCCACCTTTAAGAGTATGTCTGTACTACAATTACCTGAGGCTGACCCATGTCAGGCTCGTGAGGCTTGGGCTAAAGGGCTGTTTAACTGTAGTATGGATGTTTGGGCTTGAGCTGTGCGGTGTGTGTGTTTATGTGCATCCACCACCCTAGTTCCACTCCTCCTGCTCACTTCCCAGCCCTGCCCTCCTGGATTCCTGAAACAGTACAAATGTTGAATCCAAGAGAAGGGGGAAAATATTGCTGTGGCAGCAGCTGACCCTTTTCTGCACGGAGAGGGAGAGATCCATGTGCAGATGGTCCTTTCTGCAGGCAGATCCTAAACTTATGATCTGGCCCCATTTTACCCACAGTTTACATCTAGACTAAAAATGCTGCACAGGGAGATTTTGAACAGGATCTCAAGCTGCATGTAAGAATTAGATTCAGAATCAACATGCCAGTTTAGATTATAATTTCATCTCTGAAGCAAATGTGAAGGACCTTGCCTATAGCAGCAGGAAGCAAAGTTGCCTTCATAGCTATTGCTGTAACAGTGCTATCATCGCCAATAGGTGTCACTGGGTTTACATTTAGATTAGATTAGAAAACATTCATATAAATACAATTGGAGCTTTAACTATTGTGTTCTGTGAAAGTAATCAGAAAAAGGTTACACTTTAGCGCAACAGTGGAACACATACAAAATTATATGAGAAAATGGAGAAAACACTGCAACTAGCATATCACAAATGTGAAACCAATGCTGAGGTACGAAAGTGAGCTGAATCCTGCACATGGTTATATGTTCCTTAGCCAACGAGATTTCAGAGAGGATCCTAAGAATTACACGGGCAGCTTCAGAATGGTCAGAAAGGACGACATCCAGAAGCCCTGTGAAGATAGATTCAAAGACAACAGTAGCATCAACACCTGGCACCCTTGCATGGTAAAAATAATCCCTTGTCTGTGAATGTGAAGTATGGTTAAATAGCTCTGTGGTCAAGTGCAAATTGATTAAATAGTTAGTTCTATTTTGTGTGCATGTGTGTGCACAAGACTTTGGGGGTGGGGTTGGCTTATACATGTAGAGCGTTTCATACGTAGTTCTCAAGTGCTTTATGAAGAAAGGTTAATATCATTATTTTCAGTTCCTAGATGGGGAAATGACTTGCCCATGGTCACATGACAGAGCCTGGAATAGATTCATAGAATTTAAGGCCAGAAGGGATCACACCAGATCATCTAATCTGACCTCCTGTATATCACAGGCCATCACCACCCAGCACCCTCACACTAAACCCATCAACCAAAATGAGACCACAGTATTACAGCCCACAGGAGACTAGACTATTATGTGCCACAGGCAGAGAATAGGAAGAACTGAGATGCACCAGTGATTGTGGCCCCCACAATGGCAGGGAAATGATTAAGTAAGAAATACCCAGATAATCTTAGTAAGTGACCCTGCCTCAACATGCTGCAGAGCATGGGCGGTGGGTATCGTAGGCAAGGGGAGGCTGTACCTCCTCAAACAGCCTAGCGTTGCCCCGTCTCCAGGCCAGCGTGCCTACTGCAGGGACTCAGGGCCGCTGGGGCAGCTGGTGCTGGGCCGCGCTGCCTGCCCGGCACTCCGGGGCTGGCTGCCCAAGCACCAGGACTGGGGGCTGCCCGGAGCTGGGGGCGCAGCGACCGCGCTGCCCGGCTGTCTGAGCACCGGGTCTGGGGACGTGGCGACAGCACTGCCGAAGGGCTGTGGGCACTGAGGCTGCAGTGCACCGAGGCTGGGGCCTCGCCCCCCCACCACTCCCAGCTGTCCGGCGCTGGGGCCGCAGGGCCGCGGTGGGGGTGCTTTGGGCTTCTTCGGGGGAGGGGGAAGTAGAAGGGGAGGGGTCTCAGGCACAAGGCGGGGGGGGCAGGGGATAGCCCGGCCACCCATGCTGCAGAGGAAGGCAAAAAATCCCCAAGGTCACTGCCAATCTGACCTGGAGGAAAATTCCTTCCCAACCCCACATATGGTGATCAGTTAGACCCTGATCATGTGAGCAAGAACCAACCAGCCAAGCACCGGAGAGGAAAAAATAGAACTCAGATCTCTTGCTTCAGCCCATTGGCCTATCCGATAGACCAAGCTGCCTGTTGGAACAAACTCTCCCCTATGGTATATAGCAGAACTCCCATTGAGTTGAATATGTGGTTGAAGGGGAGACTGGGCCCATTTTATTGGCATTGCATAAGAAGCAATAGAGGACAATGTTCTCCCTTCTGCTCCCTGGTGCAGAAGGGAGCGAAATTCCAGAAAAACCACCAAAATTTGGTAAGGAAAGGTTGTCTTAAGGGGAAGAGTAGCAATATTCTTTCCTGCTGTTTAAATATTTTAGACTCAGAGGCTGTCTGCAAGCTGATGCAAGCTACAGGCCTCAGAAGTAGTAAGCTGCAGATCAAGAGAAGAATGACCAGCTGAACCAGAGTGAAGTTGGGGAGGAGTGTCATATTCCTCTCAAAGCAGCATAAGATATAATACAATCTACTTCTGTAACTTTATTATACTACAGAAGGGCTGGGTAGGAGTGCATGGCTGGGGGGTTCGTAGCCAGTGGCAGCACAGAAGACAGGCTGCCATGCTATGCAAGAGCCTGGGAACATCATGGATGGGCCAAAATCCATGAATGGCCACCCCACTGCCCTACTGGACACCTGACCACTAGGGACTGAACAGACACCACCAGCCCCTTTCACAAAAAAATGTAAACTGAGTTTTAATCCAGTCTAATTGCAAGACTATTTATAAACTAATTGATAAACAAGGAATGTGAATACTAAAAATATCCAGTTAGCTAAATATATGATTAGGGGAGAGGGGATTGTGTTTAAATTCAAATTTTAAGTAAAGTCTAGAAAGTACATTTGTATTTTTAAGACATACTCCATTGAAAATTTGTTTGTTGTGTGCTTGCTTGCTTGCTGTGTGCCAGCTAGATTGAAGTTTATAGTGTAGTCTATTTGGAGGGCTGTGTGCTGAGCCTAGCAGACCTTCCTAATGAGGCTCTAGTATCCTTTGATCCCTAATCCCATTAGGATTCTTTGACAAGGGGGCGGGGCTAACTGTGGGAGAACAGGGGTTTAAAAAGCCAGCTCCTCAACAACCAGAAGAGATAGCAAACAGGGGAGTTTTGTGAGGGAGTTTAAAGCCAGATACACCTAACAAAAATTCTCTAAACACAGGACAATAAAGCCCCACCCCCTAGAAAAAACAAACAAAAAGCACAAAGAACAAACAAAAAAATGCCAGAGTAAAATGCCGGTAGAAGTCCAGCATCAGAGTGAGGGTTATCCAATTTATTGCACGGAATGCAGCATGTAAGATTATCTGCCTTGTGAGCAGGTGGCGTATGTGTGCATTTGGTGCAAGCAACTCAGAACTCTCAGAGCCTGTGGGCTTGTCTTCACGTACAGCACTACAGCAGTGCAGCTGAACCAGAGCTGTGCCACTGTAGCGCTTTAGTGAAGATTATACTATGCTGACAGGAGAGCTTCTCCTGTCGTCATAGTTAATCCACCTTCCCAAGAGACAATAGCTACATCGGTGGGACAAGGTCTCCCGTCAACATAGCACTGTCTACACGGGGGGTTAGGTCACTATAACTATGTTGCTCAGGGGTATGGATTTTTCACAGCCACAACGTTATACTGACAGAGGTCTGTAGTGTAGACCTGGTCTGAGTACGGGCTCTTGAGATCAGAGTGGCTGAACTGGATGAGCTAAGGGAGACAAAGAGGTACATAGATAAGACTTTTCAGGACACAATAGAGCAGTCCCACTCCTAGCCTGATAACCTCTGTGCTGTGAAGGAGGATGAAAGTCTCAGGGAAGGAGAACATCAAGTTGCAGCAGAGGGAAATGATCCCATAGTTGGGACCGTCCTTCCAGATGATGATGTCATGGTATCGTCTCACACTGAGGATACCCCTCTGGGGGAGTGTACCCCAGTTATTAGGAAGAGACAGACATAGGCACTGACTCCGTGGGTGCTGTGGGGCTGCAGCACCCACAGGGAAAAATTAGCGAGTGCTCCGCACCCACTGGCAGCCAAGCTCACCCTGCCCCCGCCTTGCCTCCTCCTCCCCCAAGCGTGCCGCATCCCCATTCCTCCCCCTCCCAGCGCTTCCTGCCAGCCGCCTAACAGCTGTTCGGCGGAGCTTAGGACTTTCCGGGACGGAGGGGGAGGAGTGGGGATGCGGCGCGCTCGGAGGAGGCGGTAAAGAGGCGGGACGGGCAGGGACTTGGGGGAAGGGGGTGGAATTGGGGTGGGATGAGGGTGGTGCAGGGACGGGGACGGGAGGGGTCGAGCATCCACGGGGCAGAGGGGAAGTCGGCGCCTATGGAGACAGATAATAGTAATGGGGGATTTGATTACTAGAAATATAGATAGTTGGATTTATGGTGACCAGGAGAACTGCATGGTGAATTGCCTGCTGGGTGCAAGGGTTGCAGGCCTCATGAGACATGTAGATAGACTTTTGTGCAGTGCTGGGGAGGAGCCAGTGTTCATGGCACATGTAGGTACCAATACCATAGGGAAAGGTAGGAGAGAGGTCCTGGAGGCCAAATTTGGACTGCTAGGTAAGAGATTAAGGTCTAGGACCTCCATGTTAGCATTCGCTGAAAGGTTTACAGTTCCACATGCAGGGCCAGTTAGACAGGCAGAACTGCAGGGTCTCAATGCATGGATGATACATTGGTGTTTGGAGGAGGGATTTAGATTTATTAGGAACTGGGGAACCTTTTCAAAAAGGAGGAGCCTATACAGGAAGGATGGGCTCCACCTAAACCAAAAGGGAACCAGAGTGCATGTAAAATTAAAAAGTTTGTAGAGTAGTTTTTAAACTCAGGTCTGGGGAAAAACAACAGGTGCAGAAGAGCACACAGTTTGGACCTAGACATCCCTTAGGGGAAGATTTATTAAAGGGGATTCTCTATATTTAGTAAAGAGAAGAGGATAGAAGTTGATAAAGTACATGCAGGAACTGAACCAGAAAGTCACATGAAAAAGAGTCCTATTTCAATTACATCAAATAAAGGCCAACAACTAAATATTGACAGATTTTATAAGTGCGTGTATACAAATGCAAGAAGTCTAAATTCTAATATGGGTGAATTTGAGTGCCCAATATTATATGAGGATATTGATATAATACATATCACAGAAACTTGGTGGAACGATGATAACAGGACATGGTAATACCTGGGTACAAAATATATAGGAATGACAGAGTAGATCGCGCTGGTGGGGAGTAGCACTATATGTGAAAGCATATAGTCAAATATAGTATAAGTCTTAAATGAATCAAACTACTGTAGAATCTCTATGAACAGAAATTCCATGCTTGAATAATAAGAGTATACTACTGACACCCTGACCAGGACGGTGATGGTGACTGTAAAATGCTCAGGGAGATTAGAGAGGCTATAAAAATAAAAAATCAATAATAATGGAGGATTTCAACTAGCCCCATGTTGACTGGGTAGGTATCACCTCATGATGGGATACAGAGATAAAATTTCTAGACACCATCAGTGACTGCTTCTTGGCGCAGCTAGTCCTAAAGCCCACAAGGGGAGAGGCAATTCTTGATTTAGTCCTAAGTGGAGCACAGAATCTGGTCCAAGAGGTGAATTTTGCTGAACCACTCAGTAATAGCAACCATAAAGTAATTAAATTTAACATCCTTGTAGGGGAGAAAATACCAAAGAAACTCACCACAGTATCTTTTTAACTTCAAAAAGGGGAACTACACAAAAATGAGAAAGCTAGTTAAATGGAAATTAAAAGGAACAGTCACAAAAGTTAAATGCTTGCAAGCTGCATGGAAACTTTTTAAAAACACCATAATAGTACTAAATGTACTAAATGTACACCTGAAATAATAATTAAAAAAACAATAAGA